TGCTCCCGGCTCTCCGCTCCTCTGTCTGGGCCCCCTTCCGCGCGCCCCCTCCCTCTCTTCCCCCCCCCCCCCCCTCCCCCTCTCTGTGTCTCCCCTGCTGTCTCTCCTGCTCTCTCTCTCTCTAACTCATCTCTCTCTCCCTCCTCTCTCTCGCTCTCTCCTCTCTCTCCTCTTCTCTCTCTCTCTCTCTCCTGCTTTGTCCTGTCATGTCCTGTCTGTCGTTCTCTGTCTCTCATCTCTCTCGCTCCCTCGTTCCTCTTCTCTCTCTCTCCCTCCCACCCCCACCCCGCCCCCCCCCTCTCTTGCTCTCTCTCTCTCTCTCTCTCTCATCGCCAGGCGGGATCTCTCTCTCTCTCTCTGCGTTCTCTCATCTCTCTCTCTCTCTCTCTGTCTCTCTGTCTCTCTCGCTCTCTACTCTCTCTCTCTCTCTCTCTCTTATCCCTCTCTCTGTCTGTCTCTCTCTCTCTCTCTTCTCATCTCTCCTCTCTCTCTCTCTCTCCTTTCTATTCTCTCTCTCTCCATGTCTCTCTCTCTCTCTCTCTCTCTCGTCTCTCTCTCTCTCCTCTCTCTCTCTCTCTCTCTGTCTCTCTCTCCTCTCTCGTCTCTCTCTCTCTCTCTTCTCTCTCTCTCATCTCCATCTTCTACTCTCTCTCTTCTCTCTCTCTTCCTCTCCTATCCTCTTATACTGTCTGTCTGTCTGTCTGTCTGTCTCTCTCTCTCTCTCTCTCTACCTCGATCTCTCTCTCTCTCTCTCCTCTCTTCCTCTCTCTTTCTCTCTCTCTCTCTCCCTCTCTCTCTATCCTATCTCTCTCTCTCTACTCTCTTCTCTCCTGTCTTCTGTCTCTATGTCTCTACTGTCTCTCCTGTCTCTCTGGTCTCTCTGTCCTCTCTGTCTCGTCTTCTCTCTGTGTACTCTGCTGTCTCTTGTCTTCTCTCTCTCTTCTCTCTCCTTCTTCTCTCATCTTCGCGTCTCTCTCTCCTCTCCTCTCCTCTCATCTACCTCTACGCTCCTCCCTTCTCTCTCACTCTCTCTCCTCTCTCTCCTCTCTCTCCATCTCTCTCTCTGCTCCTCATCTCTCCTCTCTCTCTCTCCTCTCCTCTCTCTCTCTCATCCCCGCTCTCCCTCTCTCTTCCCTCTTCTCCCTCTCTCCTCTCTCCCATCTCTCCCTCTCTCCCTCTCTCTCTCTCCCTCTGGTCTCTCCCTCTGGCTCCTCTGCTCTCTCTCTCTCTTCTTCTCTCTCTCTCTCTCTCCTCTCTTCTCTCTCTGTCTCCTCTGTCTCTTCTGTCTCCTCGATTCCTCTCCTGCTCTACTGTCGTCTCTGTCTCATCTGTCTCCTCTGTCTCTTGTCTCTCTTTCGCTACTCGTCTCATTGTTCCTCTCTCCTCTCTCTTCTCCTCCGCTCTCTCTCTCTACTCTCTCTGTCATCTCCTGTCTCTCTGTCTCTCTCTCTGCTGATCTCTCTCTCCTGTCCTCTCCTTTGCTCGTCTTCATCTGTCTGCCTACTCTGGTCTCTCTCCTGTCTCCTCGCTCTCCTGTTCTCTCTACTACTGTCTCTCTCTCTGTCTCTCTGTTCTCTCTCTACTCTCTCTCTCTCTCTGTTCTCTCTCTCTCTCTCTCTCTATCTCTCTCTCTCTCTCTGTCCTTCCCTCTCCTCTATCTCCTTCTCTACCTCTCATCTCTCTCTCATCTCTCGCTTCTCTCTCTCTCTCTCTCTCTCTCGATCTCTCTCTCTCTCTCTCTCTCTCCTCACATCCTCACCTCCCTCTCTCCCCTCTTACTCTCCTCTCTCTTCTACACTCCCTCTCCTCTCGCTACTATCTCTCCCGTCTCCCTCCTCTCATTCTCTCCCGTCTCCTCTCTCTTCCTCCCTCTCATCCTCTCTTCCTCTCCTCATCTCGTCTCTCTCGTCTTCCTCTCTTACATCCGCGGTTCTCCTCTCTCTCTCTCTCTCTCTCTACTCTCTCTCTGTCCTCTCTCGCTCTCTTCGTCTCTCTGCTTCTCTCTCCAGTCTCTCTCTCTCTCTCTCTCTCTCTCCTTGGCGCCTCTCTCCCTCTCCTCTCTTCCTCTCTCTCATTCTTAGCTCTCTCTCTCTCTCTCTCTATCATCTCTCTATCTCTCTATCTCTATCTCCTCTCTCTAATCGAACCTATCCTACATCATACTATTATCACTTCTCTCTCCATATCTCTCTCGCTTCTCCTATATCACTCGCTCTCCTCTCCTCGTCTATCCTCTCCTCTCTCTCTCCATCTCCTCTCTCTCTCCCTCTCATCTATCTCTATCCATATCTTCTACCTCTACATATCATATATATATCCTATCCTATATATATACCTCTCCTATCTATATACCTATCCTATCTATATACTCTATAATATACGCATATTCTAATCTCTCTCTCTAATCTCTTATCTCATATATATCCTCTATCTCTATTATATATTGTAATCTACTGTATCTATTGTATATCTCCATCTATATCCTATATCTCATCTCTCTTACCTATATTTATATATATTCTAATATATATTATCTATATTCTCTATCTTCTCTCTACTGTTATGTCTGTCTCTCTCTGTCTAGTCTGTGTGTCTCTCTATCTCTCTCTCTCTCTCTCTCTCTCTCTCTCTCTCTCTCTCTCTCTCGCTCTCTCGCTCTATCTCTCCCATCGTCTTCTCTCTCTTCCTTCGATACTCCCTCTCATTCTCTCATATTCTATCTCTTCTCTCTTTCTCTCTCTTCTCTATATTCCTCTATCTTCTTACCATCTCCTCCTCTCTTTCTCTCTTTCATCTCTCTCTCTGTTGTCTCTGTCTGTCTCTGTCTGTCCTGTTCTGTCTCTGTCTGTTCTGATTGTCTCGTGTCCTGTCTCTAAGTCTGTATCTGTCTGTCTTGTCTGTCTCTCCTCTCCCTACTCTCTCTCTCTTCCTCGCTATCTCTCGTCCTCTCATCTCTCTCTCTCTCTCCTCTCTCCTCTCTCTCGATCTCGCTCTCTCTCTCTCTCTCTCTCCATCTCTCTCCTCTCTCTCTCTCTCTTCTTATCTCTCGTCTCTCTCCTCTCTCTCGCTCTCTCTCTCTCTCGCTCTCTCTTCTCTTCCTCTCTCTCTCTTCTCGCCCCTCTCTCTCTGCTCTCTCTCTTCACTTCTCTCATCCCCTGATCTCTACCGCCTCTCTCCTCTCTCTACTCTCTCTCTCTTCTCGCCTACTCTCTCTCTCATCTCATCTCTCTCTTCTTCTCTCTCTCTCCTCTCTCTCTCCTCTCTATCTCCTCTCTCTCTCATCTCTCTCTCTCCTCTCTCTCTCTCCTCTCTCTCTCTCCTCATACTCTCTCTCACTCTCTCGTCTCTCCTCTCTCTCTCTCCTCTCTCTCTTCTCCCTCTCTCTCCTCCATCCTCTCTCTCTCTCTCCTCTCTCCTCTGCCTCTCTCTATTCCTCTCTACTCCTTCTCTCTCCTTCTCCTTCTCTCTCCTCTCTCTATCTCTCTCTCCTCTCTCTCTCTCCTCTCTCGCCTCCTTCTCTCTCTCTCTCTACTCTCTTCCTCTCTCCTCTTCTCTCCTCTCTCTCTCTCCTCGCTCTCTCTCTCGTACTCTCCTCTCTCTCTCTCATCTCTCTCTCTACTCTCTCTCTCTCCTCTCCTCTCTCTCTAGTCCGTCCCTCTCTCTCGCTCTCCCCCTCCCCCTCCCTCCCTCTCTCCCTCCCTCCGTCCCCCCCCCCCCCCCCTCCCCCTCCCCCTCCCCTCCCCTCCACCCTCCCCTCCCCCCCCCCCCCCCCCCTCCCTCTCCTCTCTCTCTCTCGCTATCCTCCCTCTCTCTCTCCCCTCTCCCTTTCATATCTCTCTCATCATTTCTTTCTCTCTCTCTCTCCCTCTCCCGCGCGCTCCTGTGTGTCTCCCGCCTTCTTGACCCCCCCCGCCTGTCTCTTTCCCCCCCCCCTCTCCTGTCTCCCTTCCTTTCCTCGGATCTGGCCCCTCTTTCCGTGTGCTGGCCCGGGCCCCACTTTCCTCCGTTCCTTCCTTTCTGGCTGCCCGCCACGCCTGGCCTCTTCCCTTGCCCCGCTGCCCTCCCCTGGCTTCCCCATCCGGTCCTTCCCTGCCCACCGCGCCCCCTTCCTTCGGCCGGTATCCCACCGTGCACCCGCCTGCGAGACCCCAGACGGCCCACCCCTCCCCGCCCCCTCCCTCGTTGTCTGCCGCCTTCCCTGTCCGTGCCCCTCTTCCCCCCCGCTGGGTCCGCTTCTCTGTTGGCCCTCTTTCGTGGCCTTTTGCGTCTGCACCGCCCGTCCCTCTCCCTCTCTTCCTGCTCCCTTCCTCTCTCCTCTTGCTGGCTTTCTTTGTTCCCGCTAGACTGGCACTGGACCCGCCTTTCTTGTTGCTGTTCACCCGCCCCGCCTCTTCTCCTCTCCTGCCCCTGTCTATATTCATCTCCCTTCTGAGCTCCGTCGTTTCGCCCCTCCTTCCCTTGCACTCCTCCGCTTCCCTCACCCCCCTGCCGCCCTCCTGTCCCACCTCTCACTACGGTGCAGCCCATCTAGCTGCCATAAAAGTCCTGCATGCCCCGGCCTCGTTCACCCCCTCTTATCCTGGCACGGCGATGGAACCATGTGTGCTTTGTTGTCTTACAAAAAGAAATGTAAACCAAACAAAATCAAAGTGATGCAAACCTTAGAGCCTTCATGCATGAGCCCTTTAATATTATAGGCAAAGAGGGATTTCCTGGGCATAGTTAAGGGTCAAGGCAGGAAATACATGGTATGTGGCAGTACTATCTGGCATTACATCAGCCATACAGTTAGTGAGGACAAGGCCAGTTTGTTAGCTAACCTCTGATAACAATCCCCACACACAAACAAACACACAAACCTACCATCATGCCATTAGTGATCATTTATATAATGTAAAACATATCTTTCTTAAAATCGGAGTGCTGTGACTGACTAGCAATATAATTTCTTGCATTTTCAGAAACAAATTTTCCCAAAAATTGGCTAAAACCTGACTAACCTCCAGAAGAAGCTGAATTGGAGCAGAAGGATTTAGTTCATTGAAGTCCATCAAAGCCTGTGCTAAAGTTTTAAAAAGCTGCAGTCGCTGGTGCTCTAGAAACATAAAAAAACAAATAAATAATAAAGCAAAATCAATAAATATATGATATTATGGCTGTAGGAAGAACTTTTTATATGCACTTTGATAGGCTAACCCATAAAGTGACAACACAATCATAGTAGTACTAGTAATTTAAATTTATATCAAGTAACCAAATAACCGAGTAAGCAGTAGTAGTATGCAGACTATTCATAAATGAATGGCATACAAAATGAATGATTAGTGAAGGTATATGGCACATCCACATTATTGAGAGCTCAGAGGGCATGTCAATTGGCATAGAATAATAGCAATGTGAATACATTATTCAGCTGGTATACCTAACATAAGAATCATAATAACTGATTAGAAATTTGCTAATTCCTTGTAAAATCATCACATTTACTCGTTAATACTCTTTTGTTGTTGCCCTTATTACTTTTGTTTCATGCTGCTTGCCATTTTAACCCCAAAATGAGACATTTTCTTGGTCTCACCTTGCTACACAGATTCAAATTGTAATAATAAACTATAAGGGGAGAAAGAGAGAGAGAGAGAGAGAGAGAGAGAGAGAGAGAGAGAGAGAGAGAGAGAGAGAGAGAGAGAGAGAGAGAGAGAGAGAGAGAGAGAGAGAGAGAGAGAGAAATTAATTTACCGGCAATGCAGTTGCTATTGAAGTGACAATTTTCCATGACCATACACTAATCACAGACCATCTATTGATAAAAATCTGGCTTACTTTGAGCATGTTGTTACCACTTGATAGGTTACTGTACCATAGGGGGGTACCAAAAGTAACCTTCCAAAATAAGATAGTTATAATCTCATATTACCTAAACTTAATCTTAAATCATGTAACAGAGATTGTGGTATTAAAATACGAGAATCAAAAGACAAATATCCATTAAACTATAAACACTGATTCCATGACCAAGAATTCTTCCAAAACTAATAAAACTGATCTTCTAGTGGTAATTGAAATACATACAAATTAAAAAGTTGACATCAGAAATATGTATTAACACTGTACACAGTAGTTTTGTTTCATTAATCATATTTCAAAAATACTGTTGAAATTGTAATAAACATAATGATTATCATAATCATTAACACACATTAACATAAATTAATGTTTAAAGTGATAATAACAGTAATCAAATGAATAACTTTTTAAATGATGGCTAAACACTTGTGAAACCATCTATGTGTAAACAAAAGAAAATAAATAAGACCACAATGGACAACCGTGTTTTATGTTACTGAATAACAAAAAAAAATATACATGTATATATAACACCAACCACTATAGACAAATGTAATTGATTTACCTTCGACATTGGTGTAAAATATCTGATTAAATATTTGATTGGGTGCAAGCTGATGGAGGACACAGCGCAAAAACTGTCTACCAATACTTGTGGCAGAACCTGGTAAATGGATGCAATTTTCATACTGCCAGGAAAATACCTCACTGCCTGCAACTCTATAAAGAAAAAAAAATTATCCTTGAACATTCAGCGCACAGATTTAGAAAAAAAGTGGTTTTATTCTACATGCATGAAACAACTGCCAAGGACCCTGCTCATTGTCCTTTTATAGCTTGTCTAGACATTTAAATCACTTTAGATAAATGAAATAATCAGGGAATAATTCCTTGCAAGGATATAAACCTTTTAAGCCTATGTTGTTTAAGGAGTAAGAAAGTTCTTTAGTACACTGATATATATATAATTACTTACTGATGTAAACAAGATTACTCTTACTTTAACACTTTGTTTGCCGTATTATCTTATATGCAGGATTATTGCATTACTAAATACTATATGGTTACATCCCTAACTGATATCTGACTTTTTTGTGGCATTTTGAGTCAAATATCAACAAAAAGCATGAGAAAACTAAAATACCTGGCTACAGTCTTTAGCATCCTGGGGAGCAGTGGTGCAGCCAAACCTGGCTGGCGATACACAAAAGTTGATAAGATGATAATGCATAAGCCAAGATCGTCATTGGAAAATTCTTCTAAAATTTCACCACACTCCATGCATCTGAAAAAAAAATATGAATATCAGATATATTTTAGCAATTAAAATTCTGCTACCCTTTGTAAGTGATGATTGTAAAGAAAAGATAAGTCAGATTATTTGTTGTCTTATACAGAAAATCCTTTAAATGAATGCAATCTTTACTGAAGCAGTATCAAAGCTTTTCGAGACAGACTTGGAAGTACCAAACTATAAATAAAAGCCTATTATAAAGCTTACCTGTAAACCATGCAGTCCTCGCCAACCCTCAGATACGACTGCTTGATAGAGGAGGGGGGAGGGGCTCCAGGCGGGTTGCCATTAGTAACGCCTCCACGAACAGATGGCATTTCATTCCTGTCACTCCTGCAAGTATTGAGCATTCTTTAGCTTTTCCTTTGCAATTTCAGCAAGTAACAGGTAGAAGAGTGGGGTGCTGCCAGATGCATTATACAGTCAAAGAGATATAAATTTACCTCAGATGAGAGTGAATATAGACATGACAAAATTACCTTTTTAAATGTATATACTATATCTATCTCGCCTTCGCTGGCTCTCCTATTCCATCCTCTCATGCATATATCATATTTATTGACCTCTTAAACTAATCTCAGAAGTTTATGACAAATGTTAAACTTTTATAATTCCATCTTTTATTAGGAAGCTATTGTTGTATAAAGAATATAAAGAACAACCAACCATCTATAGGTATCATTCAATACTTCATCTTCGGTTTCAGCTGCTGTTGGCTTACTCTTACCACGCATTCCACTTTTAAGTGGACATGTATCACCTGGACCTGTACAGATTATCATCAACAAGGTTAAAATACATTAGTATATTTGTATGTGAAATATTTTATATTCTCATAATAAATACTCATTTACACACACACACACACACACACACACACACACACACACACACACACACACACACACACACACACACACACACACACACACACACACACACACACACACACTCACACACACACTCATACACTTACTCACACACTCACACACTCACACACTCACACACTCACTCACTCACTCACTCACTAACTCATTCACTCACTCACACACTCATTCACTCTCTCTCTCTCTCACACTCACACTCACACACACATATATATTCATCAGTTTTACCTGAATTATTTGTAGTTGTTCCTGAATTAGAAGTATCTGTGGTTTCCTCTGTTGATGTATTCAGTTGATCTTGCTTATCCATGAGCACCCTTTGGCTTTTCAAATTTTGCTGAATACATAAAAAAAATACGCATGGGTGAGTCAAACTTGATGCAAAATAACAATGTAAATAAGCATATGACATAACATTATACAATCTTTACTTACCTTTGTTTTTCCTTGTTTCTGAGTTTCTTTGTGTGCAACAACCTCAACCAATTCACATTCGCTGCCTGATAACATAGTACATAATTAGGTCAGATTGGAATTTGTAAACACAGAAACTCATCTTTATCATTAGAATCACATATCTTTTTACATCATTTGCTCTAGTTTTAGTTCTGGCATTTTAGTCGAGACAATAACAAAAAACCTTTTTGCTGTGTCTTCAGAGGAGATTCATAAAAAGCAAATTGCAATTAGGGCCTAAACTTTATTCTATTTCAAAAGTCAGCAAAGACAAGCAAAAGAAATAACATAAAATAAAATACCAGATCTAAATATGGAAATAAAATACAACATTAGCATTCTTTAACCATTCTCAGCTACTTTCTTAATCAACAAAAAAACATCATTCAGCAAATTAAGTCCACGAAGGCCTTACTGCTCTGGTTGTTGCTTTTGCTGCCATTAGCCCAGCCTCCAAAGGCCTGCCACACTCGCTCGAGTATAGACCCAGGCTGGTGGTCTTCGTGCTTCTTGATTGGAGTTGTCTGCTTACAAATAATTTATGGCATTAGTTGGTTTAATGATCTATAAAAAACCCTGAAAATTACTTCTTAAGTATCAAAAGATTAAAAAGGAATAACTAGTGGATGAAAAATTTAATCTATTTTTAGAACATCCAACTCAAAAACTGTTTTGAAAAGCTGAGCCAGCTAAAAGCTAAACATTACTTGATGATATTGTGGAGAATTTAAATCACCACATGCTTTCCAGTCAAACATCACTTTTCAACCAAAATATAGTGTATTTATCCAAAGCAAAGTACATGTTCCATAAATCCTTTGTAAATATTGTCATCTACTGAATAATTTTTTCATTATTAGTATTTATTTTTCAAATAAGAACAGCAAAGACAAACACCTTTTCTCCTCCAACAGGTAAGAGGACCTCACGGGATGGCAACTCAAGAACTTCTGGAGGAGACACAAGTTCAGTGTTTGGGGAATCTGTTGTGCTTGTCATGCCATCAAGTTCAACTGGAGAACCTGTGAGGAAACATTTAGGTACAATATAATTACTAGTATCTTGTACTATGCCTTTACTGTTTCTAATGTTTCATAGAGAATTAAATGATAAATACCCTTTTCCTTTTTCATCTGGCATAATTCTACTTCACAGTCCAATAATAATTCTATTTACCCAAATATTTTCTGTCCCTATTACAAATGGTCTATATGTACCCAGAAGCATTAGTG